TGTTGAACCAGCCTTGCATCCCCAGGATAAAGCCTACTTGATCGTGATGGATAAGCTTTTTGATGTGTTGTTGCAATCGGTTTGCCAGTATTTTGTTGAAGATTTTTGTATCTATGTTCACCATGTATATTGACCTGAAGTTGTCTTTTTTTGTTGAGTCTCTGCTGGGTTATGGTATCAAGATGATCATGGTCTCATAAAATGTTTTGGGAAGGATTCCCTCTTTTTGGATTGTTTGAAATCGTTTCAGAAGGAGTGGTACTAACTCCTCTTTGTATGTCTGTTAGAATGTGGCTGTGAACCCTTATGGACCTGGGTTTTTTTTTGGTTGGTAAGCTGTTAATTGCTGCCTCAACTTCAGCCCTTGTTGGTCTTTCAGGGTTTTGACTTTTTCCTGGTTTAGGCTTGGGAGGGTACAAGTGTCCAGGAATTTATACATTTCTTCCACGTTTATTGGTTTGTGTGCATTGAGTTGTTTGTAGTAATCTCTGATGGTAGTTTTTATTTCTTTGGAATCGGTGGTGATATCCCCTTTATTGTTTTTTGTTACATCTATTTGATTCTTCTCCCTTTTTTTTATTATTAATCTGGCTAGTGGTCTATTTTGTTGGTCTTTTCAAAAAACAAGCTCCTGGATTTATGGATTTTTTGAAGGGTTTTTTTTGTGTCTCTATCTCCTTCAGTTCTGCTCTGATCTTAGTTATTTCGTATCTTCTGCTAGCTTTTGAGTTATTTTTATCTTGCTCTTCTAGCTCTTTCAATTTTGATGATAGGGTGTCAATTTTAGATCTTTCCTTGCTTCTCACGTGGGCATTTATTGCTATAAATTTTCCTCTAGACACTGCTTTAAATGTGCCCCAGAGGTTCTGGTACATTGTATCTTCATTTTGTTGGTTTTGAAGGACATCTTTATTTCTGCCTTCATTTCATTGTTTATCCAGTCAACATTCAAGAGCCAGTTGTTCAGTTTCCATGAAGTTGAGTGGTTCTGAGTTATTTTCTTAATCCTGAGTTCTAATTTGATTGCACTGTGGTCTGAGAGACTGTTATGATTTCCATTCTTTTGCATTTTCTGAGAAGTGATTTACTTCCAATTATGTGGTCAATTTTAGAGTAGGTGTGATGTGGTGCTGAGAAGAATGTATATTCTGTGGATTTGGGGTGGAGAGTTCTGTAAATGTCTTTTAGGTTTGTTTGGTCCAGATCTGAGTTCAAGTCCTGGATATCCTTGTCAATTTTCCATCTCATTGATCTGTCTAATATTGAGTGTTATAGACTCCCACTGTTATTGTGTGGGAGTCTAAGTCTCTTTGTAGGTCATTAAGAATTTGCTTTATGTATCTGGGTGCTCCTGTATTGGGTGCGTATATATTTAGGATAGTTAGCTCTTCTTATTGCATTGATCCGTTTACCATTATATAGTGCCCTTCTTTGTCTCTTTTGATCTTTGTTGGTTTAAAGTCTATTTTATCGGAGACTAGGATTGCTACCCCTGCTTTTTTTTGCTCTCCATTTGTTTGGTAAATCTTCCTCTATCCCTTTATTGTGAGCCTATGTGTGTCTTTGCATGTGAGATGGGTTTCTTGGATACAGCACACTGATGATTTTTTACTTTTTATCCAATTTTCCAGTCTGTGTCTTTTGATTGGGGCATTTATCCCATTTATGTTTAAGGTTAATATTGTTATTTATGAACTTGATCCTGCCATTTTGATGCTGGCTGGTTGTTTTGCCCATTAGTTGATGCAGTTTCTTCATTGTGTTGATGCTTTTTACCATTTGGTACATTTTGGAGTGGCTGGTACTACTGGTTTTTCCTTTCTGTGTTTGGTGCTTCCTTCAGGAGCTCTTGTAGGACCGGCCTGGTGGTGACAAATCTCTCAGCAATTGCTTGTTCATAAAGGATTTTATTTCCCCTTTGCTTATGAAGCTTAGTTTGGCTGGATATGAAATTCTAGGTTGAAAGTTCTTTTCTTTAAGGATGTTGAATATTGGCCCCCACTGTCTTCTGGCTTGTAGGGTTTCTGCAGAGAGATCCACTGTGAGTCTAATGGGCTTCCCTTTGTGGGTAACCCAACCTTTCTCTCTGGCTGCCCTTAACATTTTTTCCTTCATTTCAATCCTGGTGAATCTGATGATTATGTGTCTTGGGGTTGCTCTTCTTGAGGAATATCTTTATGGTGTTCTCTGTATTTCCTGGACTTGAATGCTGGCCTGCCTTGCTAGGTTGGGTAAGTTCTCCTGGATAATATCCTGAAGAGTGCTTTCCAGCTTGGATTAATTCTCTCTATCACATTCAGGTACACCTATCAATCGTTGATTAGGTCTTTTCACATAATCCTATATTTCTTGGAGGCTTTGTTCATTTCTTTTCACTTTTTTCTCTAATCTTGCCTTCTCATTTTATTTCATTGAGTTAATCTTCAGTCTCTGATAGCCTTTCTTCTGATTGGTCGATTTGGCTTTTGAACTTGCATATGCTTCACGAAGTTCTTGTATTGTGTTTTTCAGCTCCATTAAGTCATTTATATTCTGTTCTAAGCTGTTTATTCTCGTTAGCATTTTGTCAAACCTTTTTTCAAGGTTCTTAGTTTCTTTGCATTGGGTTAGATAGAACATGTTCTTTTAGCTCTGAGAAGTTTTTTATTACCCACCTTCTGAAGCCTGTTTCTGTCACTTCATCAGACTCATTCTCCATCCAGCTTTGTTCCTTTGCTGGTGATGAGTTGTGATCTCTTGGAGGAGAGGCATTCTGGTTTTGGGTGTTTTCATCCTTTTTGCGCTGGTTTCTTCCCATCTTTATGGATTTATCTACCTGTGGTCTTTGTAGTTGATGACTTTCGGATGGGGCCTCTGAGTGGACATCCTTTTTGTTGATCATGAAGTTATTTCTTTCTGTTTTTTAGTTTTCCTTTTAACAGTCAGGCCCCTCTGCTGTAAGACTGCTGGAGGTCCACTCCAAACCCTGCTTGCCTGGGGATCATCTGTGGTGGCTGCAGAACAGTAAGGGTTGCTGCCAGTTTCTTCTTCTGTTATCTTTGTCGCAGAAGGATACCTGCCAGATGTCAGCCTGAGCTCTCCATTATGAGGTGTTTCTGGATATACGGGTTCAGGGAGCTGCTTGAAGAGATAGTCTGTCCCACGTAGGAACTCAGGTGCTGAGCTGTGATCTCCATTGTTCTCTACAGAGCTGCTGGACAAGTATATTTAAGTCTGCTGCAGCGGAACTCATAACCACCTTTTTCCCCAGGTGCTCTGTCCTGGGAAGGTGGGGCTTTGTAAGTTCCTGACGTGCTGCTGCCTTTTTTCAGAGCTGCCCTGCCCAGCATGGTGGTAGTCTAGCCACAGCCTGCTAGCAGAGGCATTGCTGAGCTGCCATGGGCTCTGCCCAGCAGCTGTGTGAACTTCCTTGCTGTTTTGTTTATAGAGGTATAGTTAGAACTGTGTTGGTAACGGCAGACTGCCTCTGTAATGGCGACTGCCTTGGTAATTTTGGACTCCCTTGGTAATGGCGGACTGCCGCAGTAGTGGTGGACTGCCTCGGTAGTGGTGGTCTGCCTCTGTAGTGGCAGACTGCCTCAGTAGTGGTGGTCTGCCTCTGTAGTGGCGGACTGCCTCGGTAATGGCGGACACCCTTCCCCCAATAGAGCTGGACCCTCTGGGGTCCAGCTGCACTTCCTGTGAAGCTCTTAATCCAGAACACTTCTGATTGCTGGTCTTTGTGGGGGTGGGACCTGCTGAGTCAGATCACCTGGCTCCGTTTCAGCCCCCCTTTTTGTTTTCAATTGAATGGGCATTTCTGTCTCCCAAGCATTTCAGGCGCCAGTTGAAACGGTCACCCAGATTTGTGTGAGTTTTTGTGTGGAGACCCACTGCGCCAGCTGAAACAGCCGTGCTGGAAAATCGTGGCGCTTTTCAGCCAGTGAGTCTCCTGGTCTGTGGGTAGTAATAACTTGTTTGGAAATGCGATGTTCACTCACCCTCTGCATTGTTCTCGCTGTGAACGACACTCCAGAGCTGTTCCTATTTGGCCATCTTGGATCCACCCTACCCCTTTTCTTTTTTTATAATTGCCCTTAAGTTTGATTCATTTATCTTGAAATGGTAAGCAACCACAGCTGTAGACCTCAATCTGTGGTTCATATCAAGCAATTCAACTTTTTCTTATAATGTTATGATATTTCTGTACTTGAGAGTACTTCCAGCATCACTGGTGGCACCTTAAATGAGGCCCACAGTGTATTCAGGGTTACAGTATTGCATACAACATGATGAAAAATGCAGGAGAACCATGAGAGGTTACTTCCTACTCTCAAATGCAATTTAGTGGAGAGAGAACTGCTCAAACAGCATTTTAAGGAATACAACACTAGAGCTAACTGCAATATCAACAGAGGGTGGCTATAAAATTATTACAGTAATACAGAATTACTACATTTAAATTTATTGTTAAGATATAGTACTATTTAGTATTACTAGGTTGGCAAAAACCGCAGTTACATTTGCGCCAACCTGATACATCTTTACTTTTCTTCATATTTCTCTTGGCTGTGAATGGCACTATGCTTGTGTTTTGTGTGTAAATTTTGATAAATTTTAACTTTTTATAATGGATTTCTATATATTTTATGGTAAATTATAAAACATACTAGTATTTACATAGATTTTATGCATTCATAACATATCTTTAAAATAATGTTAAGGCTATGTGGTTCATCTGCAAGTTTTATCAAATTGTCTTAAGTCTCCAAAATTTTAAATATCTTTATTGGAAAAAATCCACATATGAGTGGACTAGCACAGTTAAATGATGTTGATCAAGGGTCAACTGTAGTTCCAAATCAATGCCAAATTCAACAGGACACCAGTTTTAATGTTACATTGTTCAGTGTTTATCTCTGATCACAAAGTATCTGAGGCAGATACCATACTGCTTGCAAAGATAAAAACTCATTGCTCTGCATATTAAATTTTATGATATATGTTTCATTTTTGCCTAGGTAAATATGCTGAAGATATATTTGGAGAATTATTCAATGAAGCACATAGTTTTTCCTTCAGAGTCAACTCATTGCAAGAACGTGTGGACCGTTTATCTGTTAGTGTTACACAGCTTGATCCAAAGGAAGAAGAATGTAAGCTTATTAATATTGTATTTTTTTCTGTGTATATATTTTAAGTTAGATGAGATGAATGATATATTTAAGAACAATATTAATAGTGAATTATTCCAGATCTTACCCATGTTCTGTGGTATACATATTGTAATAAATCAGTGAATTATCTAAAAATGCCATCAGTATGAGTCTCCTGGCTTTTCTATTTTAAATGTCTTCTTTTTGTACACTAAACAGCTCCTAATTTTTTGAACATAAAAAAGACGTTTTAATCAGACATTTTCCTCCATTCTCTTTATCTTTTCTCCCTTGTAATTTATTTGTATAATTTTGTCTTAGAAATAAAAATTATTAGAAAATTACCTGAAATCTTTAGGTTTGATTTTACAAGAATGTAACCACTTTTAATATGCTTTTGTATGTGCATATTGCTAAAGTCTTATTAGATATTTAACTGAATGCAACTTCCTACTTTAAATGAACATTTCAAAAACAAATTGCCAGTTGGGTGTCAACATTCTATACCACGATATTAAATCAGGAATAATCAGGTAAAAAAGCCACTCTGTAGGCTAAAATAATTGTAGAAACTTTAGTGGTAAAATCATGTTTTATGCCTTGATGGAATACATTGAATGCCAATGTTTCCCAAATGCCTCTTTTTCTTTGTTTTACAAAAAGAAATGCAGTGCTAAGAACATAATTTGCACTTATCTACCACAGAGAATTGTTTAGTGGAATTTCTTACAACACTCTCTTCAAAATATTTTTGTTGCATTAAATGGTACAAATGCAAATTATATAATCTAATTTTTAGTATAAATGCAAATTATGTAATAGATCTAAACTTTAACAATAAAAATATTAAAGGTTGTCACTGGAAAGAACAAAAAATGCAATTTATAATGAATGTTTCAGTGATGGAACCAGCTACTTTTGAAATAATCTAATGTGTAAATAAAGAGAGGCAAATACTTAGCACACTAGATTTCTACTGCTTGCAAAAATAAAAACTCAGAGCTCTGGATACAAGAAAAAAAATGAAATAATACTTTAAAAATAGCTTTATTAAGATATATTTCACAACCTACATATACCTTGCATCCATTTAAAGTTGAAGTGTACAATTCAGTATTTTTTAGTATATTCAATAGTTATGCAGCCATGACCACAATCAATTTTAGAATATTTGTATCACTTCAGAAAGAAGCCCTGTACTCATTAGCAGTCACTCTGTTTCCCCTTCAGCTCAACCCGTAGCACTCTTTCTGTCTATATGGATTTGCCTGTTCTGTATATTTCATATGAAATATGTGGTCTTTTGTGACTGGCTTCTTTCTTTTAGCATAATGTTTTCAAGGTTCATTCATGTACATGTATTTATATTACATTATATTTCCCTGATGGCTAATGATGTTGAGCATCTTTTCATGTGCTTATAGGCCATTTGTATATCTTCTTTGGAGAAATGTCTATTTAGTTCCTTTGCCCATTGATAATTTGAATTATTCGTGTTTTTATTTTTGAGTTGTTAGAATTCTGTGTATATTCTGGATCTAAGTCCTTTGTCAAATATATGATTTGCAAATATTTTCACCCATTCTTTAGGTTGTCTTTCTTCGTGGTATCCTCCAAAATGAGCATATATTAATACATTAATTACATCTCATGGAATTCTTGAAATAAAATCGTAGTTAGAGGTGAAAAATATTTAATGGTCATGTTTTCAAATACATAATTTATAGCCAAAATTTATTTTTTAGATAACTCAAATATTTTTAACTTAAATATAAACTTATGACACCAAATAATACAGAAATACATAGGCTGTTCTCATATGTAACAGAAATAAAAATCAGCATGTAGTTTCAAAATATTGTTAAATTTTAACAGATGTCTTAGAATCACCTAAAACTTGAAAGTGAAAATACAGATTACAGTAAATAAAGATGTTTACGTTAAAAAAACAAGTTTTAGGCCAGGCATGGTGGTTCACACCTGTAATCACAGCACTTTGGGAACCTGAGGCACAAACCTGTGGATCACAAGGTCAGGAGTTCAAGACGAGCCTGGCTAATATGGTGAAACCCTGCCTCTATTAAAAATACAAAAATTAGTCGGGCATGGTAGCAGGTGCCTGTAGTTCCCAGCTATTCTGGAGGCTAAGGCAGGAGAATTGTTTGAACCTGGGAGGCAGAGGTTGTAGTGAGCTGAGATGGCCCTACTGCACTCCAGCCTGGGTAACAGAGTGAGACTCCATCTCAAAAAAAAAAAAAAAATTAATATGTCAACAACTATACTGTCAGAATTATACATAATTTTCTTTAAACTTTTGTGGAGCAGTGGGGAAGAATTCAGAATCTAAAAGCTGAACTACTTAATTTGAAATTGTTTTGGAGAGGTTGTATTGAAGGAGTTTTCAGTTATTTAACCTAGGTTTTTTTTTTTTTTTTTTTTTTTTTTTTTTT